TGGGTTGTCCTGCCATTCCTACCTCACACACACGCACTACTGGGTAGCAAGGGCTGAGAGACAGACCAACTCTGTCACCTCAGACCTGCTCTCTACCAATGAGGACTGGCAAGACTTGCTTCCTTGATGCATACATGCCCCAAGTGTTTCAAAGATATGTTGGCTCTTAGGGGTTCTTCCAGACTTAGTATACTTCATTTTTTCTCACTACAAATAATTTCAGCCTGTCAGAGTTGAGTAAGCTGTTCAAAACTGGTTGGACTACATGGCCTAACAAAATGGAAACTTGGTTATCAAAACAGAGTTCTCATTTTCTCAAGTAAACCACATTTAATCAAAGACTTTCAGATTAACATAAAAATTAAACCGTTATTTCACTCAGGAAAACAAACCGAAGTATCTATATTTTTATCCTCAATATGAGAAAAAAGTCCACCTTCTCCTAAGCTGATCTAGCAATAGGCGAGTGGCTTGTTGGTTGGAAGAATGTCTGCGATGACAGGACCAAGAGGAGATGCAACACCATGTCCAGGGTCAACTCATCAAAACCTTCTCACCCAGATGCCAACAGTGCCATCCTCCTCACCGAGAAGAACCGATTTTTGACTACAGCACTGCCCCAGTCCCGGAGGTTCCCTCACAGTTCTAGTGCTCATCACAGTAATGTCTACCTGTAGTATCTTCCTCACCTGACTGTGCTCATCGCAGGCTTGCACAACTCAGAGTGATGGAAAAATCAATCATTTCTCTTCACTTTTCTTCTATGTTTACAACTTTTTAAAAATTCAGAGCATACACCTCCTCCAAGCTCTCAGAATAGAGGCTCGGTTGTAGGCCAAGCCAATCCACATTCTCTGCCCTCTGTGCCAGGAGGAAAAATTCAGGGGTGAGATGGACTCCTGCTGGGCCTGTGGGGACAAAGTCACCCTTTGAGTATGAATAAGGACCCAGCAGTCTCAGAAGCTGCCAGCAGCTAGGTGGACCCAAAGGGGAACCTCTGGATGGCAACAGGAGATGGAAGAAGCCAAGTCCCTGGGACCTAGCCTGAAACCTGAATCACTTAGGACTTTTCAGTGACTCCCACATTTTAGGTCAGGGAGAGTCAGTTTTACTGTGGCAACCAAAGACATTCTAGCTGGTATGAGGATTAATGGGAAAGGCACAATTGAGTATGTAGTTTAGATTAGCATAAAATTAGAAAATCTGACTAAAGTAAAACACTTCCTAACACATATGTAAAGAAACAGGCTAGGATAAGAAGGCCAATTATTTTAAGATGACTAAAATAGTAAGAAAAAAGTGACTCAGTAATGTAAGCCACTGTATAATTTATTATTTCTGATATTTCTCTCACTCCCCAAATTTGCTAGGCCCTTGGTTCTTCCTCAGCTAACAGTCTCTTCACTCTTCTAGCTTCCCAGGCATAAAATCTCAGTCACCTGGTGCAATGGCACATGCTTGTGATCCAAGCATTCAGGAGGATGAGGCAGGAGGATGGCAAGTTCAACTCCAGCAACACAGTGAGAGACACTATCTCAAAATTAAAAACAAAACAAAAACTTTTTTTAAAAATCGGTCATTTTTGGTCATTCCCTACCTCCTCCTTATATCCATATTGTATCTTATCAAATTTATTGGTTCTGCTTCCCAAATCTATCCAGAAGCCATGCACTCCTCATTCTCTTCACTGCCACTCAGTCCAAGCCATTCCTATCCTTTGCCTAGATGTCTAAAACAGACTCTAAGTGACCTCCCTGTCTTCCCTTACCAACCATAGATTCTCAGCACAGCGGCTAGAGTGGTTCTAATGACAGGCATCTTAAACTACATCCCTTCCAATGGTGAGATGCACTAAGGGCAAGCTCAAGTGTGCAGAAGTCCACCAGATTCTGAGTTCCACTCAACTGAGTACAGCCCTGGCTGCAGAGTTGAATGTCTATAGAGCCTGCTGCCTAACCAGCTGCCTGTCATATTTTTCTTGGACATCTGAAAGGCCTCTGCCCAGCCTCTTCTGAGCCTGCTCAAAGCCCTTTTTTATTTCCGGTGCTCTGTTTGTCATTGCAGCACTCTGTCCTCCCACCCTGCAATGCTGCTTTTTCTTCCCACCAGCACACTCTAATTCCATATATCATTCACTCCACCATGATACTGTATGCCATGTGTTCCAGGGAGGGGGCTGTTTTGTTCACTTGGGTACCTCTGGCACCTAAACAGTGCCTGGCATACAGCTGGTACCAAGGAAATGACTTCATAGGGCAGAAGGAATTAAATGTTATGCCAGTTCCTTTTATTGTATAGATACACCAGACCTTCCCAAAAGAGGGCAGAGATAAGTGATCCCATTTCCTTATCTCAACACAACTGAAAAGATACAAAAAAACCATACTACTTCGTTTCACTCACTTCCAGCTCTGACTTATATCAAGATCCAGTGAGGAAAATTTTCCACCTTGGGTTTGAGGTACAAATTAAGGGGCCTTTAGGCATAAATTCCCCAGTCTGTAATACTGCTGAGAGCACTATCTGAATCCTGCAGCAAACGTCTGGTGAGCAGGCTGGAGGAAAGACTAAAGATGGCTCAGGCCTATGTGTGAACCCTAAGTCTCCAACTGCCCTGTGCAAGAGCAGAGGGCGTGAAGCCCTGACTTTTAGCAATGCTCCCCTGACAGGCATGACCCACCATCTATGGGAAACTACAAACTTGCAAGCCTGCAGACCCCAAAACAAACACCCTCGAGATTACAAATTCCTGCTGAGCAAACATGAAGCCCGAGTTTACTCCTTGTGGATGAAACATCTACACTTCATCTTCTTCCCTCTGTGTCAGCGGCTCAAGACAGGTTACGAGCTGGTTTAGGATATATTCACTAAGAGGTTTTAGGGCATTTACTTGTCCTTATTTGTTTTTAGTATTTTTAAGTTCAGACAACTTTCTGATTTTTTCTAAGATATCTAAACACTTATTTACTTTGCCTTTTTATTTTAAAGGACAGTGAATAGCAAATAAAAGCATTACTTTGCATATTATTAAGCTTTCTACAGATGAGTGAAAATAACATCTTTCTACATGTATGGTTTGGTGATGTTTTTCAGACAGCTTTGTGAGGCAGTTCCACAATGGATATACACAGTTCTTCATAACTCGTCTTCAATGCTAACAGTGAGGAAAATCTCACAACTGATGAACATAACAGGTCAATTCCCATATGGTGGTATTATAAGCAGTGCTGTAATAATTAAATTTAAATAGATGTTTTTTTTCTGGTTTTCTATGCAGACAAGTCCACAGGAAACATTACATGAAGTAAGATTCTGAGCTTAATGGGAAGTTTGGTAAATTATCTAGTAACTTTTATTTGTTTGTAATACCTACGATTAAATACAGGGCCTTGTGCATGCTAAGCAAGCATTTGAATGCTGAGTTATATCCTCAGCTCTTTTTTTTTTAACTTTTATTTTGAGAGAGGGCTTTACTAAATTTCCCTCTGTGCTGGCCCACAACCTGTAATCCTTCTGCTTCTGCCTCCCCAGTGGCAGGGATTACTGGTGTGTGCCACCACACCCAGTGACAGTGTTTCGGGGTGGCACTGGAAATTGATTCTAGGGCAGTGGTACTGAACCTACAGCACACGTGCTGCAGCAAGCACAAAGAGCCCTCTCTGTCGACATGCGAGTCAAGTCACCCCAGCAGCTGAGCATTGGATAACAGATTTCTTTTTCTAAACTAAAATCTCAGTATTCAGATTTAATTGCAGTAGTGGCACTTTATGATAAATAAGTGGGTTTGGAGTTGCAGTTTGGGCACTCAGTCTCTCAAAGGTTTGCCATCAAGACCTTCACACTGCTTATATCCTAGCCCTTTTAACTTTTTACTTTTCAAAGGGTCTTGCCAAGTTGCCCCAACTTGCCTGGAACTCATGATTTCCCTGCCACAGCCTCCTGAGTAGCTGGGATTAGAGGTGTGTGCCACCATACCCGAGATAACTTTTTTTTTGGGGTGGGTACAGGGATCAAACTCAGGTCCTTGCACTTGCAAGGCAGGTGGCGGAACCACTCAGCTAAATCCCTGGTCCAGAGATAACTTTTCGATTTTAACCACTTTGATTTCCAAAATACAAAACACTGATAGAAGTAGAATTTTTTAAAACTCAAGGACAAAAGAATAAACTTTAAGAAACTAAAAGACAGTGCATTATGTAGAGTGTATTAGTCACCATTCCACCGCTGGACAATACACCTGACACAATCTAAGTAGAAAAGACTGATTCTGCCTCATGGTTTCAAAGCTTCCAGAACACCAGCTCCAAGGGAGAACCGGCATGGGGAAAGAGCCTGGCAAAAGAAGCTGATCACCTGAAAGAAATCCCTTCCGGGTCAATGCCCCAGTGACTTACCTCCTCCTGCCAGGCTCCTCCTCCTAATAGCACATCCAGCAGCTAAGAGCTCATGGATGGGCTAATCCACCGATCAGGTTGCTGCCCCCACCATCTAATCACCTCCCAAAACCCCACCTCTCAACTTGTGAGCCTTTGAAGGTTTTTTCCTAAGGGTTTCAAATTGAATATTTTATTAACATGGTAGTTGTCTGCAACGTGCACACACACTCACACACTCGGTATGATCTGCCTGGGGAAAATGAAAACTTTTTTAAAAATGGTTTTCATTATTATAGGCAATTATGTCCACATCACTCACAAAGCTATTGCCAAATCTGTCCAAGGAAGCAGTTTGAGGATGGGGGAGCATCTTCAGAAAAATTCAATAGTGGCATAGCAGAGCTCTCAATATGAGAAAGCTGACATAATGTGGACTTTTGCTATGAATTTTTTCTTTTGCAAAGTGTGGGGAGAGGTTTATAAATGGGCAGAAAATAAAAGAAGGTGATGTGCAGTAGGCTTTTGCAGTCAATTTTCCTCACAGTATTGTGCTGGGTCATTGAGAAAATGCTCAGTCTTTCTCTGGAACCAGTTTCAGAACTTTGCCAATTGCAATGGTCTTACCTTCATCTCTTAAGGTTAAAAACCCATCTGAGGGAAGTCTTTAAAGGTTTCAAGGCAGATGGTTCCTGCTGTCTTTAAACGAGCAATGCATACTTGATCCTGTTTCACAAAATGGGGCCGAGTCTTACTTTTTCTCCTGATTGTCTATGAAGCAAATAAAAGTTTTATTTCAACTTCCTCAATACAGGTATGAATATGCAGCACCACGTTATATCCTGGGCAGATGATGGATTTGTACTCTATAATCACTATCTGGGCATCAAATGTGCATCCAGAATTACAAAGATTATTAGGATCACAGAGTATGAATCCTGGACGAATCTCCTCCTCTTTAATTCCTTTCAGCCTGATTTTGAGAGTTTCACCTGGGGCTACAGAATCTGTCTCTATATCATCAGAAAGTATTCCAAGAACTTCCACATTGTGCTTGTTTGGCATCATCACAAGTTGCTGGCCTTTACAAATAGATCCTGATTCCAGCATTCCCAGGACCACAGAGCCCATATTCTGTACTTACCCACAATTGGCAGCCTGACTAGTCCATCAACTGATCTATTGAAGTTTGGCAAGTTATCCAGATAGGGAATAAATGGTAATCCAATGTACTAAGGACAGAAATCTGATTGCTCTTTGAGATTTGCTTCAGTCAGTCCTCAGCAGGGCATAAAATGAATGCCCTTTTTGGGACTGAAGCCAACCGTTTTTCAAAAATGGCACTAGCTTCTCTTTACATTCTGCATATCTCTCATTGCTCCAATTTACTGTTGGATTATCCATCTTATTTATAAGTACAATTAAGTGTTTTACACCTGCTGTCTTTGCCAACATTGCATGTTCTCTGGTTTGTCCTCCTTTTTCAAATCCAGTTTCAAACTCTCCTTTCCTAGCTGAGATTATCAGTTCAGCCAAATTGGCTTGAGAGGTACCACCAATCATATTTGGAACAAAACTCTTATAGCCAGGGACATCCAGAATTGTCAAATGCTTCTTTTCTGTTTCAAAATAGGCACAACCACTTCTACTGTTCTACCCTTGTCTCGTTCTTCCTGATTTGGGTCTAAGGCCCAGGACAAGTATCAAGTTTCTCTATTTTTTCTTTAGCTTCTCTTTCATATTTTTCAAGTGTCCTTTTGTCAACCATTCCAGTCAAATACATTATTTGTCCTCCAATAGTTGACTTGCCCGCATCTACATGTCCAATGAATACTACACTTACATGTTCTTTCTCAGAAGCCCCTCCAGTGCAGCCCTAGATTCATGTTTTGGTATTTCCTCTTCCTCCTCCATCATTTCCTGGGCACTTTCTTCATGTGGCCTTCCATTCCTCAAGGAACCACCCCCAGGCTCTGCTTCATTTATTTCTTCTTTGTGCTCCCATGATTCTTCAGGAGACATTTCCATCTCTCCATTTTCTACAACAGGTTCTGAAAGTTCCGTGTTAACAGATGAATTTGAACTTTCACACAATAACGACTGTTGCTCTTCAGGGGATTCCACAGGTAATTCACCTTGGTAGTTTTCAACCCTGTCTCTGTTTGCTTCCAGCTATGGAGCACGGCAGAAGACCAAACTACGAGTTGAAGGTATATTTTTAATTCAAGCCATAACAAGTACATTATGTGTCAAATATTTTAATATCAGATGTGTGAACTGCTCCTAAATTAATTCTAAATTTAATGATACCCCCTTTCACTTTAATGAAGTTCTCTTCTACTCTAAGGTTGCTAAGCTAGAGTTTTATTGTGGATGGAGCTAAATTTCATCAAGTGCTTTTTTTCCATCTAGAGACAGGGTCAAAGGGTTTTTCTCTTGGGATTCATGAGATGAATTCATCATAACCCAAATTAAGAGGCTGGCTGAAGAATAAACTGCCCCTGGGGTTCTTCACGAGTATCTGCGAACTCTTTCATGCCTCTCTGGAGAGCTGTGCTCTGGTCAGATGGGTTTGTACCAGCCACAATTCATGCCAAGATTTACTCTGTGCTTTACTGTCTTGAGAGGGGGTGGGACCTGTAAGAGTTGATTCAGTCATAGTACTGTCCCCTCCATCACAGGATGCTATGGTCTGAATCTAAAACATTTCCTGAAGCTCTTATGCTCAACGCCACCACAGTGTTCAGACGTGGGGCTTCTGAGAAGTTTCTGGATCACAGGGCTCTGACAGCATCACTGAAATAACACTGGGTGGTGGTGACAACTTAATGGAAGTGGGACTGGGGGAAGAAGCAGGTACCGGAGACAAGGCTAGCAGGGCCTATCTTGCCCCCACACCTGTCTTTCTCACCATGACATAAGAGCTTGGACCCTTCCACTACAAAGCCATACCTTGCCACAGACCCAAAGCATAATGAACCAGCCAACCACAGTTTGAAACCTCTGAGACCATGAGCCCAAATCAGTCTTCTCTCAGTATTTTATCACTAATACTGGGCAGCTCATTAATACAAAGGTCCAGTAGGTAATGTAGGTACTGAGATAGTGGGCTGTTATGAAGTCAGCCCACCACCTACCCTCACCTGCTCCCACATGTCTCTCCTGCCTGTATTCCTTCCCACGAGACCCACAACAGAAGTGGCAAAGACACAGCTGCATTCCCAGCTAGAACCATGAACCAAAACAAACTTTTTTCCTTTATAAATCATATGGCCTCAGGCATTTTGTTGTAGCAAAAGAAAATAGATAAAGACAAAGTGAAACCTAACTCCACTGTGTGTAGACTACAGTAAGTGATTTCCTCCTAATAAACAGAGCAAAAGGCCAGGGATAGTGGCCATGATAGCACAAGCCTGTAATCCCAGCACTCAGGAAGCTGAGGCAAAAGGATCACTGGGAGTTTGAGACCAGCCTGGGCTACAGAGTGAGTTCCAGGGCAGTCTAAACTACATAGTGAGACTGTGTCTCAGAAAAAGAAAAAGGGCAGGGATATAGCTCAGTGGCACAGTATCTACCTGGCAAGTGTGAGGCTCTGAGTTCAATTCCCAATACCAAAAAAAAACCACCCCACAATAAAAAGTGACAGTGTGACTTCCCAGTGTAACTCTTAAAAAGCATGGCAGCTTCCTCTTTCTCTTCTTTAACTTGCACACTCTGTGGAAAGCAACTGCCATGGTGTGAGAATACTCTAAGTCTGAAGAGGCTTAGTAAGGAAGGAACCAAGACTTCTGCTAAAAGCCATGGAGTGGCCAACTTGGAAGTGATCCTCCTGCAGTCAAGTGACCAAGTGACCACATCCCTGCTCTCTCATGAGACAACCTTATAAACTAACCCAGGTGGACTACAAGCCAAGCTGTTTCTCAAGTCCTTCAGTGTTTCAAGTCATTATGTTTAGAGAAAAACTGTTCCAAAGCAATGATAATTTATACATTAGTCTTGGATTCTTGCACTGTTTTAATTTGTCATTATTGTTCAATAAATAATGATTAATCTTTGTCCCTGGTTCCCAGAAGAAAATCTCTAAATCCCTGGAACTTCCTGGGTAACATGAGTGTCACTGTTATTCATGAACTTCATGGATCATTCCTCAATTTATGCCTCAAGATGGGGCTGGACACTAGAAGTTGACTTGTGTGAGCAGAGGCCAGGGCCTTGGGCCAGCCAGCCCTCTTGAGACGGGATAGCAGAAGACCTGAGTTGTATCACATGGCCATTTATTCCATCATGCTACACATCAACACACCACACTGGTGAGCTTGTTGGCTGGTGACCATCCTGGCATGTTGATCCCAGAGAAGACAGTACAGGTAAACACATGCCCAACTCCCCACCCTCCCACCCCCAGACCCTGCCCTGTGTCCTCCGTAATGACACTAAAAGTAAACTGCTTTCCTGAGTTTACGAACCATTTCAGTTACTTATATAACTCAACTGCATTTGCAGAAACCCCTGGATATGCAGTCAGTTAGGGGCACATGTGGCTGAGGCCACCAGACTTGATACTGGCACCAGCAGGAAAGGTGGTCAGTCTTGTTGGGGACCATGCCCGTAAACCTGGTGCTAACAAAGCGGTATTAGTCAGTACTGTAATATGATATGTATGTAAACACACAACTGATTTGTTTTCCTAATTTTTTGTTAGGTTTCATACAAGCAAGATTGGTCTATAATTATTTTTCATATTATCCCTATCAAGATTTTAGTAGTCACATACAATAAACTAAGAGACTTTCCTTATTTTGCTGTTCTCTGAAACTGTGTGTAAATTTGAACATCTCTACCACCTGAATAGTTTAACATGTTCCCACCAGCTCAAACCACAAGTATGACTGCCCCATCAGGCAGCTTGCCCCACTGGTGGTACAAATGGATCTAATCACTTTTATTGGTCTTTTTACTAATAAAATGAATAAAAAGACAGGACAGTCATACATGTACCACCAGTAGTTCAAGCTGCCTAACAGCAGGACACACAAATTATTGCTCCATCATGAATGTGTTTAAAGAACTCACTCTTTTTTGGTACTGGGGATCGAACTCAGGACCTCGCACTTGCAAAGCAGGCAGAGGAACCACTGAGCTAAATCCCCAGCTAAAAGAATTCACTCTTAATATCATCTGGGCCAGGGACTTATCTGTAAAGTATATGGAGTACCTCTTTTCACTAAAAATTCAATCTCTCTAATAGTTACAGAAATATCCATGTTTCCTATAATCTAATCAATTTTATTAAATCCTAACTTTTTAGAAAATTGCCATTTTATGCTGTAAAATTTGTTGCTACAGTTATTCCAAGGTATTTTCTGATTTTTTTTTTTTAAATCTCTTTCAAATCTGGAATTATAGTCCCTTTTACATTCCCAATATTATTTTTTCCTTGACCAATCTTTCAAGTGATTTATATTAGCTTCTGTAAAAAACAAACTGTGACTTTGTTAATCACCTCCACTGTACCTGTTTTATTTTATTTTATTTTTTGGTACCAGGGATCGAACTTAGGACCTTGCACTTATAAGGCAGGTAACAGCACCACTGAGCTAAATCCCTGGCCTCACTGTAAACTTTTTAAAAAGTTTATTCATCATTTTCTCACCTATAAGCCAGAAGCTTAGATCAATTTCTCTCTGCACCTCAGCCTTTCCTTCTAATGTGGGAACAGCAATGTACCTGTCTCACAAAGCAGCTGTTAAGATGAAATGAGAAGGCCTTAT